ATCTCAACATCGGCAAACAACCCCAAACCCAAGTAGTGGCCGTTTATGTAGTAATTCACCAAATACATGAAATGTCATTTCAACCTTATTTGCAAAGGAGCCCACACACAAAAAGAAGATACACCAATATGGGATGAAATGTCGTTTTTCCTCATATGGGATCAAAGGACACTAGCCATAGCCCATTGGTTTCACATAAGAAAACTATCGCAAACACAAACTGATATATAATAGTTTCTTTCTAACCATTACAAGTCATAGACGTCGCTTTATATAGCTTAGTACAGTGTAACTAGATCTATATAGAGACGCCTTGTAACGTAACCAAAAGTTACAATCCATGGTTGGTCCTAACTCCTAACTAGCCAAGTAGTGACTCGTAACCATCTAGCCAGTAGCTTTATCGAACTTAACCGATAATTAGGCAGTAGATGGAGAAGTTGATAGGGTGTAAACCGTAACATAACTTTCTCACAACAATTCGAGTTATTGGGACCAAGTGGTTTATGACATGGTATCAGAGCTGGCTTGGCCAAGTGGTCGTGTGTCCGAATCCTCACGAGCCCCAATATTAACAGTTGTCTTCAAGCACATGGTATGGCGGGCATGTACAAACTTCAAGTCTGTGAGTCGACTTTCGTTTGAGGGGGTGTGTAAGGAAGTGGTTAAGTACCATACATGGGCCTCTCCCAACAAGTCGAGTTATATTGAGATCAACTGATTCTTGACATGGTATCAGAACTGTTTTAGTCAAGTGGTCGTGTGTTGTGATCAACTGGTCTACGACAGATGGTAACTTAGTGAGTAGAGAAGTACCTTGCATTGCATGAGGCTTGAAACCTTGAAGGTGCATTGATCGTGATGGGTCAAGAAGAAGAAGATGCGTGCATATTAATGTACTTGTTTAGCCATCTATAGAGATATTGGTCAATTTGACCTAGAGATATGGATTCTTCTCTCCTTCCCCATGGCCTAACTTTCCTAGCTTAATGTTGTCCACATATACATGGGTATGTAACATGTGGGTTGCCGGGGAGGCTACATTAAAGTTAAGGAAGAAAGTTATAGACTTATAATCAGTCACATGCATATGCTAATTCGATCATACGTAGCAAGATAATCACCCTAGCTATGAAGGGGGAAAAATGTTATATGAAATGGATTAATCGAGCAAGGCCATACTTTAGAAACAAGAGAGAAGATGTGTGTATGAATTATGATGTGTGTTACCTGTCGAGCAAAGGAACTTTCAGGTTTCATTGGGCTTATGGGCCAACACAACCCTTTTTTAACTTTCGAGATTGGGATTGGGACTTTCTTTGACCTTGTTCTCAGGTTTAATTGGGCTTATTGGCCAACACAACCCTTTTCCCTTTCCGGTCTGGGATGGGATAGAGTCAGTAACCAATGGTAGGGCTGGGAAACGGTGCGGTCTGGTCCAGACCAGACCATATAGACGGTCTGCGGTTCAGACCGAGAAGCTAGAACAGAGACCATGGACCAGACCATATACTATACGGTCCGGACCAGACCACACCTGTGCGGTGCGGTCCGGTACGGTCTGGACCAGACAGACCATGCTTAACGAAACATGTAGTGTCCAATACTAAATAATAGCCTATTAACAAAACAAAAAAACAAACATTGACATCTCATCATTAACCACAAAGTTCAAAAGTCAACATTACAATTGTGTTGCTCCTGAAACTTTAATTAGAACATTTAAAACATGAATTGGTTAGAGTAATTTGGATACTTGTATTATAACAGCATCGACCAACAATGATGGTCTTCATTATGAATTAATAATAATAAAAAATCCTCGGTGATAAGTAGCTAGAAACTTTAAGCTTACAAGTTACTTTGGTATTTTGTGCAGGAACTCCCGGCCCTTGCCAGGTGTGATGCAATCGAAAGAAATATACAAGCATTCAAGTAGGATTGTCCCCGTGGAAAGCGATTAAGTATTAACAAACCAGGGCAAGGATTGCTATTAGAGTATTAGTGTATTACCATCGAGAGAAGTCTATTGGTCATCGTAGAGAGGCAGCTTGTTGCAATTGACGAATTAACGGTTGGAGAAGGCTTCTTGAAAGAAGGAGAGCCGTCAACGGTTCGTGATTTTGGCCCGGGAGGACGAGCGAGAAGAAAGAGGAAGAGTAACTGGATGGAATTGTTGCGTGTGATTGACTGGAGGGAGAGAAAACGCGATTTTGGTTGGCCTCCTTCCAGCAAAACGGGGAGCTAGGGTTTTTCTTTTTCAATTTGGGGAGGCTGGGTGAAATGTGTGAGAGACTTGAGAGACGAGAAGAAGTAGGGCTGGGATGGGGTGGGGTGGGCATATGGGGTATGGGACCTGCCGCATTGGTCTTGGAGGATACGGTCTAGATGGTTAACCGCGGTCTAGACCAGACCAGACCGTCCCAGACCGCAAACTGAAGGAGCAGACCATGGACCAAACCAAATTGTATTTATGGTCTCACGGTCCGGACCAAACCGTACGGTATGGTCTAAACCACGGTTTGTCAGGCGGTTTGGTCTAGATTCCCAACCCTAACCAATGGTTACTGACCTATCAGTAAATGCATGGACACCATAGATCTAGGGGCGGATTAATCATGCGGCTAGGCTGAATGCGGGGTCCAGAAGGGCATTTTTATCCGTTTATAAATTTTTATTTTATTATATTCCAAGTTTAATGGCCGCTTTTTCAAAAAAAGGAGACCACTTTTAATGGCTGCCTTTTTCAAATGAGGAGAGAGAATCATTTCTCTGCAACTCTCTTTTCTCTTTCTCCTTTCCTTTTTCTCTCTCAATCTATCATTTCTCTTTCTCTATTCCTTTTTTTCTCTCCAATCTCTTTCTCCATATCTAGATCTACTTCCTTCTCTTCTTTTTTCGTTTTTTTTCTCTCCAGCAATCGACGAAGAAAAATTGCAGCCACCCTCTTTCATTGCGTTTTTTGTCTCTTCATCAACTCGTTGACCTCAATTTCGGTCTTTCTCCCTTTTTTGGCGTTTGGTGTTCTTGATTGCGGAGGAAATGAGATTAAATAGAAGACGAGTTTTTTTTCCCTCTCCCTCTTTCTGCTATACTATATGGTATTGTGTGGTAACGAAATATATATTGATATTACCACACTTTACCATATGGTATTGTGTGGTAACGAAATATATATTGATATTACCGCATTATACCATATAATATTGTGTGATATTACCACACTATACCATATGGTATTGTGTGATACTATACCATATGGTATTGTGTGGTAACGAAATATATATTGGTATTACCACACTATACCATATGGTATTGGGTGGTAACAAAATATATATTGATATTACCACACTATTATACCATATAGTAATGTATGGTATTGTGTGGTAACGAAATATATATTGATATTACCACACTATGCTATATGGTATTGTATGGTATTGTGTGATATTACCACAATATACCATATGGTATTGTGTGGTAACGAAATATATATTGATATTACCACACTGTACCATATGGTATTGGGTGGTATTACCAAATATATATTGATATTGCCACACTATACCATATGGTATTGGGTGGTAACGAAACATATATTGATGTGGCAAATTTTTCATACCATATGGTATGGTCTTATTTAATACCAGTCATACCATATGGTATTGACTTGTAATAACTGACAAATTTTTTTATGTCCAAAAAATATCAAAGTGGATATCATTTTGAAGAGCACAATTAATCTGATCTAACTGTGTAAAAAAAATTAAATTCTGACTTAAAACGAGTGAGAAATCGTCCGTTAAAGATTAAGGGAAAGAAAATTAAAGGTTTTTCGAGGAGAGAGAAGGAGGCGCTGATATGGTCTGGTCAAAAGTCAGCGTCAGCAATAAATAGGGGTAAGTACAAATTTACCTTCCTGTCCTTTTGCATTTAATTTAAATAAAAAGAGAAGCTGACACATGGGGATCGGGGAAGGGGTTACTGATGGGTTACTGTCAGTCACTGTCCTGATCTGCTCCTTTTTTCTTTCAAAGCAAGAAATGTTCTTATGGGTACTTGGGCCCATCGTGGACCACAAAGTGCAACAAAGTGACGGATTGGGGCCACTAACATGCTATCATGCCCAACGGAGAGAGAGCCCAGTACTCAGTGGCAACTGTAAATGGATCAAACGAATCCGAAAGCCCATGTTGTTTTTCAAATTCCCCAACTCATCCTACGAAGCCCAAACCTAACAACCCACATAACAATAATTTCTTTAATACTGAAAAATTAAATTCACTTATATAATTTCTGATTTGTCGTCAGCTGATTGGATGCATAAGCTTTGCAATTATTATTATTATATTAGACGAGGATCTTATTACAAGATCAGATTCCCCTTATTTAATTTATTTCGAGCCAAAAAAATAAAATTAAAAGTAAAAAAACAGCCAACGCCCAACGGTCACCGACGAAATAAGAGAGCACAAATCCCGACCGTTGCGTGGAGAAGGGTAATGGCGACACGTGTCCCCTCCAATGTCTCTCGCCTTCCCCGTTCGAAAACACGTGACCAATTGTTCTCACTTGCAAACAGTTTAGATTGGGCGGAAAATAATATTATTTTCTTTCAGAAGCAAAATTGTGATTTCTTTTTTTTATTCGTGAATATTTTCAGATATTATTGGGGGGATTTAATGCATACACGTGACTCACGTTCAAACTAATTCAAACTCATATTAGACAAAATGATTTAATAATATCGAGTTTAGTTTGGACCGCACCTGATGAACCAGTGTTTGGATCGGATCAACAATTGGACTCGACCAAACTAAACATGATGCATTGTTCGTCCACGCATTTGATCCTAATACGTCTTTCACTATCAGACGATGATTCTCATGAGTTTGATCCAGAGGCATTCATAAATAATAAAATTAATTTTATCACTGTATAATTATCCAAAACTGAATGCACATTATACATAAGTGAATATGATGTTTATGTTTTGCGACATTCAACTGTTAATAAAAAAATTGAAAATAATTAAGGAGTCGTTTATTAGAAGTCTGTTCACGCTGTATTTCTTCTTAAAAAAGCACTAATTATGTCCGTTCCTGATCATTTAAAAAAAAATCACCCTTTCCCGGATTATTTTTAAATTTATGTCTGTTTTTGCCGAGAGAAATTAGGGAAAACAGAGAAGATAAAAAGGGAAAAATCAAACGGATAAAGCCCAGAAAGAGCCAAAACAACTCCTTCTTTAGTCCTTCTTCTCTCTCTCTCTCTCGCTCTCGCTCTCTCTCTCTCTGTCTCGTTTCATATATTATATCATCATTTTCTGAAAAAGATTGTATTTTTATTATTATATTCCGGGTTTGGCTCACTCACTCCCTCAGCTGAGCTTGTGGCGTGTGCATCTGCTTGTGTTATTCTCGAAATATATCCTTTTGAAGGGTCTCTCTCTGTTTGTGTTTCTTTGCGTGCAGTTTTCTGGTGGGTAAAGTTAAAACTCTTTCTCTCTCTATCTCTAGCTCCCTTGGTGCAAGTTCTTTAGGTTTATTAATTTCTCGCTCTGCTGCTTCGTGGGTGGAAGTTAGGTGAAACAGGGTTGTTGTTGGTTTGTGGTGGTGCAAGAGGACCGACATGGCGAACTCGGCGGAGAAGAAGGAAGAGACGAATACTCCAATCAAGGGCGACGAGGGTTTCTCGGTCGAGCTCCCTGCTCCTTCCGGCTGGAAGAAGATGGTTCTCTCTCTCTCTCTCTCTAACTAACCCCTTTTGCTCCTTTCTGCTGCTGAAGTTCCTGTTTCCTTGAATTTCCCTCTCTGGGTGTTGCTTGTTTCAAGTTTTTCTTGTAATTGGTTTGTTTCAAATTTCAATTCAACTGGCTCGACATGGGTGAATTAGAGAATTAGGGTTTCGTTTGGTTCGGTGTTGGGGTTGTTGGGGGGTGGTTCTGTAGGATTAACTCTGCAACTTATTCCTACTGTACTTGGCTTCCTCCTTAATTAGGGTTTTTTGGGAGGGGGATTAGGGCTGTTCAATTGTTCTAGCTATGGGAAATACAGATATACTGTATTTTTTGCTTGAAATTTGATGGTTACCGTCAAATGGTTTATTTCCCATAGGGATGTGTGCTGCAAAGCGGAGATAGTTATAGCAATGTGAGAGTTTTGGAGGTTAAAGGAGCAGTACATATTAGTTTTTTTCCAGTTCAGGGGCTTAGAGAAGGCTCTGGATTTTGACTTTTGTTACCGGAATTCGGTCCTGGCATTCATTGGGCTATTTGCAGGCTGCTAGTTATAGTAGAGTTATTGTCTTTCTGCTTTCTTCCCGTTCACAAGAAGATACATCGATCAGTGCATATCTAGTTGAAGATACTCAATGATGTTTATTCTATCCCATTTGGATATGATCAGGATTTATGGGAATTGGATGTATCAGCAAAATAGAATTGGGGAAGCCTTGAGTCTTGACAATTTAGGGTTTGTTAGTAAGTGCGGTTGTTATGACCTTAGGTATGGTAAGGTACTTGGTGACTTTAGACTGAAAGTTTTAGATTTGACAGCGATTTGAACAGGCATGAAATGGTTCCACTGCTTTGTAAGGCAGATAGAATAGGAGAAATAAGCCAAACTCTCTGGTTAGGGAGATCATTGCAAGTATAGAAGAGATGTAGGGGGTGGCATATAGGAGAATAGCATCATGGTTTGTTCCATAGAGCTTATGATAAAAGTAGTAGGAACAAGTTGGAGAAAGAGTTTGGCATTACAAATTGATATTGTTCTAGGGATGCTCTAATGGATGGAGGCACTCAAATAAAAATTACTGGTTGTATAGGACTCTGGTAAGTATATAGATATTCCATTTAACCAATTGGACATAGGGTGTAGTAACCTCTGTTAGCAGACTTGACTTTGGCCGCAGATTCAGCTGCCTTACAGACGGTTTGCAGAATTGGAGTTGGATCCGCAGTCTTGTTTCCCAAAAGCAAATGGTCTATCGTGTAGTTTTTCCTATTCAATGCCTTAATGAGGTTCTCCGCCTATATTCTGTGATTGACCTAGATACCCAGAACAGAGGAGTTTATATTGCCTGTTGGCAAATTAGACACAAGAGCTCGACGTAGCATCCTGGTAGTCTGACGGGAGTTCTTCACTTAGTGGCCTGTGGGGTTATAGCAACACCTTCTTAAGAATAATCTTGTGCAGAAATCTTGTTTGGAGGATGAGTCTCACTGATGCCCTTTGTGAAATATGATTAATTCGTCTGATTTTACTGAAATTCTTGTCTTTTTCTTTAGCTTGGAGATGTCATTCAGTCTAAATTTCCCCTTTTCTTTCTTTTCACTTTTTAATAGTTTGTGGGGGTTGTCTTGTTTTCTCCTGGTAGGTCTCTCTGCAGCGAGGTTTTACACTTTAAATGATTCACCTGAACTTTCATATCAAGAGGACTTTTTAACCCATCTGCATGCATTTATAGATTTTTAGAAGTTCGGATATATCTTTGTTTAACAGTTCCACATATGTGAACTTGGTTACCTACTCTCCTCAATCCCACCTTTTGTCAAGGATATTTAACTTGTAGCTGTATAAAGACAATCTACTATATTCCACCTTTTAGCAGGGTTTTTGCATCAAATAAATTCTCTTTCTGCATTGCATTCACCAGTATAAATCATTACCTCATCCTGACACATCAATGATGGTTATGGTTGATAATGCACTTAACATGATCATGATTGAAGTTTTAGCTGCCCATAACTGTTACAATTATTTTTGTTGACTTTGTAGTTTTCCCCCAGTAAGAAGAAGAGTGAGATCACATTCATCTCCCCAACTGGAGAGGAAATCACTGGTAGAAGACAGTTAGAACAGTACCTCAAGGCACATCCTGGTGGCCTAGCCACATCCGACTTTGACTGGGGCACTGGTGAGACCCCAAGGCGGTCGGCCAGGATCAGTGAGAAGGTGAAGGCTACTCCATCTCCACAAAAGGAGCCCCCAAAGAAGCGTGGCAAGAAATCCACATCAGCTGCCAAAAAAGAGAACAAAGAAACAGGATCTGGCGATGAAGCAACTGAGGAGGCCAAAGACTCCACTATGGAGGAAGCTGAAAAAACTGGGAAGGATGATGCCGAGGCAGAAAACATAGTGAATGCTGTGAAAGACAACCAGAATGATGGTGAAGAAAAAGCACAAGATCCCGATGTAAAGATGGATGCAGCTGATGGAGCTCCATCCCAGAAGGAAGCTGACGAGGCTGAAGGTCAGCAGAAGGGGAGCTCTGATGCTGTGGCTGAGAATGAAAGTGAAAAGAAGACCGAGGCTGAGGCTGAAAAGACTCAGGAAAAGGAAGAGCAACCACAAGCTGAGGCAGCAGCCACTAATGCAGAGGAGAAGAAGACTGAAGCTGAAGGGGAGGAGAAACATGAGCAAACCAACGAAAGCGAACCAGCATCTGAAGGAGAGTCCAACAAGGACAAAGAGGAAGCAGCAAATGGGAGTGCCAAGAAACCAGATGAGATAACCACCATTCAGCCAACTGAGAAAGTTGAAGGAGCATCAGTTGAGAATGGCAGCCATGCTGCTACTGCAACTGTTACCGCTACCTGATGATGAAATTCCTTGTTCGAGGACTTTCATTTTGTTGTTGTTCTTTTGTTAATGTCGCCACCCTTTCTTTTCCCTCTGATCATTTTAGGCCTGTGAGTATTTTGGATGACTGTAGTAGCTGTAATGTTGTAAGGAGTTAGCATCATCGAGCTCTCTGATTGTTCATTCAGACAGTGGTATGATATAACTACAGATTAGGTGTGCATTGTAGCAAAGCTCCTGAGCGAGAGTCAAGTAGAAAGAAAGACACCGACACAACTTGTTAGCTTTTAGTAAGTAAGAATTGTAACAGTTGTATGCTGTCGGATTACTGCCATGTAATGCAGTCATGGGAATAAGCTCTGTATTAGAGATTCAATGCTTGGTCATCCATCTATCCATCCATTTCTTTGTTTGTTATTTTGTTCGAGAGTAGTTTAACTTCACAATCTGGGCAAAGGCATTCGATAGGGGGAAATAGATATTACCATTGCTAACTTATCACAATCTCAGGTAAGCAACTTGTACATTGCTGTCTACTGAAGAAGTATAGTCGAACTTGAAACTCGAAACAACTTTGAGTCTTTGACATCCTCAAGACCAAGAAGAAATGCAAATATGGAAGATTGGGTTGCTCTTCCAAATACAGAGAATGCTCGCACTTGAAAAAGGATTGCCGTGTTGATGAATGGGAAATGCGAAAATGAAGAAGCCAATCTATGTGTTTTGCCGTATTCAGATCCCTTTGAGCTGTGTAATTATGCCAGTCAAGGTGGTCCATTTCTCGAAAGCTGAGGCTGATGCATAGAAGGCAACTTTCGAGGATTCGATATCATTCCCAACAACTGCAACAACAGCAACAACAAAGGGTTAAAAGGAATCATATTGATTCGATTAACATCTACTTTGGTGATCAGGACACAGAACCCACCTGATGAAATCAATGAAGCTAGGGAGGAGTTGAAGGTGTCCACTTCGGTTTTCTCTTCAGGGCCAGAGCTCAGCTGCGTTAGCATTGAAGCAGAATCAATTAGCGAGTGGGAAAGAACTCAGAATGTGAAGTGGGTTTTTTCACTATTCACCTTAGCAAAGGCTACATTGGCCTTCTGAACCCAATCAGTATCGGTTCCTTTGCCTAGAACTGAACCAGCTGCTGATAGGTCACTGTTCTCTATAGCTTGGCCTACTTTACTCAGATTGTAAACCACATCTTGCAAATACCCTGCCACGTTCAAACCCACCTTTGTCACAAATTCAACATCCACTTCACTCAATTGGGTTGCAACAAATATGTACACAGCCATCAAAGATCAAAACTTTTCTTTCCTCCACATATGGGTAAAGGTCAAATAAGATACAACAACCAAGTTACTAATCCCATTGATCAAATTCTGCTCCAGGAACTGGCAAAAGAACAAAGAAAAAGAAAGGGCACCTGTTTCTTTTTTGGCAGAGTTGAGAACTCCTTGCCTCTCAATCCTCCTCTTCCTATCCTGCTTCACTTTCTCCATGAGTTCATCATCCTCATCAGCTTCCAGTATTGCAGCATTAGCAGAAGAAGCAGTGATGTCTGCATTGGGCAATGATGAGAAAGCGAGGCCAGTGATTAAGCAAAGAGCTAAGCTCCTCCTGCTGGTTACCACATCATGGGATCCTGTTGATGAGGAGGAGTCACTGCAAGCTCTGCATAAATTGGGCAGCTTCCTGGCTGTTCTAAAGGGCTGTGGAAATGCTAGTGAAGAAGATGAAGAATGTGGTGAGGGAGATGTTGGGGAAGCGAGAGATGGGGAGAGGAAGGAATTTGCAGTGGAGAGGAATGGAGTTGCCATTCTTGTAAATTTTGTCTTAATGTTGGGGAAGAAAATTTCAGGGACTTACGGTTTGGTTTGGAGGACAAAAAATGTGCTGTTTTTTTTAGTTATGGGTTGCGAAGGATACTGCCTTGTTGGGAGGATAAGGTTTGATGGTGGAAGTGGGTATTTTATGTGTGATGTCTAGCGTGCCAGACCAGTCACTTGTTCAAATGGTTTAGGGTTATGTGGAAATTTTCAGTTTGCTGCCCAATAAATCTTATTTTGAGCAAGATTACCCAAAATTGTTGAGCTCGAATTATCGTTATGGCTTAATTGTAAGTTTGGTCACTGATAGGTCAAAAGCGTATGTCTTAATCCTATCTTGTAGTAAAACTGGAAAGTCCGGGTATCGTCTCTCAGGGACTGGTACAACCTTAAGTTCTATCAATTTTATTGAGCAAACTATATGTGAAAATGTTTAATGAGATGAAACTATGATCTAATAGCAAAATTAACTAAACAAAACAAGCAAATTAAAGTGTCGGGTTTAAATCAATGGGAGAAAGCTCTGGGAGAAACACCGGGATTCACTACCTATCCTATCCAGATTAATTCACACATTCCAATCAATTTAATCCATACCTCTACAGCCAGGATATCACGAATGTGCTAGCTATCCCTGTTGGGAATTACTACGTACTAAATAATCAATTCAAATCCTACTGTCGTAGCTCAATGAATTAACTATATAGTCTGAAGATCGATATCCTATTTAAGACCGCATAGCACCTTATTTAATTCACTGTCGCTTCGATAAGTTACTATGTCACATGAAACAAGTTCAGTTAATAGGGTTTCACTGTCGCTAATAACCTAATCAACTACGATTCATTGTATTGGTGGCCAGTCAACACAAAGCATTAAGCAATTTCATGCAATAGAGATTGGAAGAAAAGAATCATGAATCAATCCATCAAATCAAGAAATAGCTACATCCTATGGTGTTTCCCCCAGAAATTGGGGTTTAGTTCATGACGAAATTAAGATAAAACGATAAGGTTTTGTTCATCATGTTCTAAATCAACAAGAAACAACTAATTCGGTTTAGAAAATCCAACCAACTAATCACTCTCGTTGAACTCAGCTCAAACCTTGAAGAAACCGATCGCCAATGGCCAATCGCCCGATGCTTCTCTGCTGCCTTGCGCTGCTGCCTTTTCTTTCTTTCTCCAAAAAGAATTATCCCCTCTGTTCTCTCCAAAGAAAAATCCGCCCAAATCAAATTGCTTGTAGCCGACTTCCTTTTTGCTTCTCTCCGCTCCAAAATTAATTCCGCTTCCAGCAGAATTTTCTTCTTCTGCTTTCTTTCTCTCTGGAGAATTCCGTCCCTCCTTTGGCTTCTTTTTAATTATTCCGCCCAAATCAAATTAATTCCAATCTCCCATTAAATCACCGCCAATAATTCCCCTGGCCAAAAATAATTGCCACCCACAGTTCCGTTTCTTTTGTTCCGCCTCCAAAAAGAATTTCACTCAAGTCCAAATCGTCCAGTCCAAGCTCAGTTCAACTCCTCAGTAAGTTCCGGTCCAATGTACATCCAGTCCACTTGAATTATTCTATCCACCAATGCAAATTTCTCGTTTCATTTATCTGAAATATATAAAACATTTGGCACTTGATGGTAATGGTTTTATAACCATTCCAGGCTTAGTTGGAGCTCAAACAAGTATTATAGATCTCAAACACATCATGAAAATAATCCCATTAAGCACGCAAAATCAATATGTTTTGACAATTATCACCCGAATTGCTTAAAAATTTCACGTTTGCCACTCAAATTGATTTATTCCATTTATAGTCACTCGAATTAGTTGAATAGTCCAAGTTCGGTCACTCTCCGTTAACCTCTGTTAATGACGACCGTTAAGTGATTACGTGGCTAACAGAATGACACAGTCAGCACATTTAAACATTAAAAAACGACGGCCCGACCCGAGCCGCTAGCTCAGCCTTACTCGCCCTGTCAGCCATTCTTGCCCAACCCGCGAACCAACCCAATTAATTGACCCTAAGCCCAAACCTGTGATCGATTGAGGTGGAGAAGGCGCTGTGGACGAAGAAAGCGGTGGCGATCCGGCGGCAGCGGGGGCGGAGGAGGAGGAGGAAGAGGAGGAATTAGGGTGGAGGGGAGCGCGGCGGAAGCGGGCGTGGCCAGTGCGGTTGAGGAGGGAGATGACCTTCTTGAACCTGGAGACGGTGACTTCCGTGAGATCCGTACAATCGGCGGCGGTGGTGTGGCTGTTGGACTGCTGTTGGTGACGAGACATGACGCGGATTAGGTGCTCCATGCTCTGCAAGCCTTGAGCGGCTGCTTCCTGGATCGCAATCTGATCGTCGACCTTCCTGAAACTCATTAGGTCAACCGCCATTTGTTGTTTTCCTCCTTCGATTTTCTTCGGATTCGAAGCGATCGGGGAGAGAACTGAGAGGAACTGGATGGAGAAGATGAAGGAGAATAAGGTGAGGCGGAAGTCAACAAGAAGCCATGGGAGGGAAAGGAGTAAAGTGGAGAGGAGCTGGAGACGATGGGAACAAGGAGGTAGATATAAGAATTGGGAATGGGTCTCGGGTTTGGGTTTAGGGTCAATTAATTGGGTTGGTTCGCGGGTTGGGCAAGAATGGCTGACAGGGCGGGTAAGGCTGAGCTGTCGGGTCGGGTCGTCGTTTTTTAATGTTTAAATGTGCTGACTGTGTCATTCTGTTAGCCACGTCATCACTTAACGGTCGTCATTAACGGAGTCTAACGGAGGTTAACGGAGAGTGACCGAACTTGGACGGTTCAACTAATTCGAGTTACTATAAATGGAATAAATCAATTTGAGTGGCAAACGTGAAATTTTTAAGCAATTCGGGTGACCAAACTTGCAATTAAGCCTTATTGTTATCTACCTGGGGTGAAACTTGGAATCATGTATAGTTCAGCTCAAGGTGTGGCAATAAGGGGGTAGAAGCTCATTCCCTATGTTTGGCCAGGCTTTTAGAAGTGCTTTTCGGCTTCAAAAGCTGAAGCAGGGCCAAACACCTGTAAAAGCTCGGCTTTTGAAAAGTCTAGCGCTTTTGTATAGCATAAAAGCAGAAGCTACGATTTGGAGCTTCTGCGAAAAGCTGTTTTGAAAATACAAGATTATCCTTACCATATTTTAATTTTATTTCAGAAAATATAAATTTTCTTCATTTATATCATTTTAAAAATAAAATAAATTATAAAATCATATTATTTAATATAAAAGAAATCTAACAAGATCCATTTTGACTACTTTTTATTGTTTAGAATTTTTATTCATATTTTATATTATAAGTCCTATATAGTCATTTTACACAACCTCTCATATTAAAAAGCACTTCTAATAGTTTTACAGCCAAACAATCAACTGCTTTTTTTGAAAAGTACTTATCTAAAAGCTCCAGCAGAAGCTGCTTCTGCAAAAGCTACCGCAGGGCCAAACTAAGCTATTGTCTTATTGCCTTAAGAAAATGAGTGGGAACTAAGATCTTTCGTGTTTTTATTGGTAGACGATGAGATGATCATGTGTAAGAATCATTTAATTATGATTACGTACATTTTTTATGAGTTATCAATAGATTAGGGTTGGAAACGGTGCGGTCTGGTCCAGACCAGATCATATATACGGTTTATGGTCCAGAGTCCAGACTGAGAGGCTGAAGTATAGACCACAAACTACACGGTCTGGTTGGTCTGGTCCAAATGGATCACACTCAACGAAAAATGAACAATTTGTTTATTCAACCACACAAAAATTGAACCAATAATCAAGAAAATTAATTTTAATTTGCCTTAAAACATTAATCCTAACATGCATGAATAATTTTGATACCCTAAATCTTAGTACATAACAAAGATATAAAGTAAAAGCATCCCAACTTGCACCATAACGTCATAAACATTAACATAATGTCATATGGAGACTGGATTATCTCTACTCTCTAGTTAAATGTGGTTGTGAATGTAGCAGGGGCGAGATTCACAAAATTAAGGTTGAGACTTGGGTGTCACTGTGGGAGTTGGGAGATTGGTCGAATGGACTGTTAACACGTATTGACAAGTCTGTTGGGTCCATGGTTTGGTCCGGTAAACCGCGGTCTAGACCAGACCAGACCAAGAGATCAAAATATAAAATAATACAGACCATGCTTAACGGTCTACGGTCCGAACCAAACTGTGCGGTACGATTTGGACCACGGTTTTTTTCTGACGGTCTGATCTATTTTCCCAGCCCTACAATAGATCATGCATTGCATCCAACTTTTATTATTTACCAAAACTATATTACAAGATTGAAATAATTCTTCTAATGCGATGACTTACTTTTGGATTGAAGTGCATATAACAAGGTATATGTCTTGCTTAATTGAATCATTCTACTAATGCCTGATTTGAGATCAATTAGGGATTTAGGGTACAACGACAAGAGTTTTTTAAGCTTTACCCAAGCTATTCAATCAAGCCCGAGAGAACATAATGGGCCGGAAGTTAATAAGTAGAGTGTTTGGGCTCAAAGTTTGTAGGTGGATGTGAGTATGGTTAGGTCCAATGTAAGATTGGATCGGATGAGAAAGAAGAGAAAACAAGTTGGAAACAAACTAAGGGGTCGTTTAGTAAGCACGTAATGTAGAATTCATGTATTTGAAGAATTCATGTATATTGTACGTTGAGTTGTGAGAACTTGTGTAATATTAGAATGCATTGTTTGGCTTGCATGAGTTCATGGTAGAACCCACATAATTTGGCATGAAATCTCAAATACTTTGGGTAAACCCAAAGCATTTGAGATATCACGGTCACATGAATTCTAGAATTACATGGTGCACGAATACCATGATATCTGTCCAAAAATGAAATAAGAAAAACAGTGAAATCACAGATATTATGTAATCTTGAAATCTGTAATTGGATTTATGGTTGGTCATCTTCTCTTTTAATCATCTTACAAAAATTAAAAATGAATTTAATTTTAACAATGATAATGGTGATTTTCAGTTCATCGTGACTTTGATAAAATGATTAATCTCTTCTCGAAAGTGGTTGATTGGATAGCACACTTGTAAGTTGCACCAGAACTTCACTGTTACAAGGGAAAACGACAGTCGATCGCTTGCTTCCACAGATGGAATGAATTCAAGAGAAAGTACTGACCTACAAATAATGCTTGGCTTTGTATTATGACATATTAAGGTCGGTCGAAGGACCGAACGATCGACCATTTTGTTGAAAAGGTGAACCTCTTGATTTGCAAGTCAACCGAATTGAAAAAGGGATGCACACCTAAACACAAATTTGCTAGTTGTTTATTATTTTTTAGTGGAAGGGGAATAGGAAGGTGGGGTTTCGCAATACCCAAGAGCAAATGGAGAAGAAGAGAAAAGGATGGGGTAAACGATCAAAATGCGGCCAGACCTAAAGCAGTCGGCCTAACTTATCTCGATAGAATGAGATCCAGTTGACTCATTTTTTTATTTGGTCGATCGCTTCCCTGTTTCAGTTGTTTGTTTGTTGATAGTAATCAATAACTATGGAGCAACAAAGGAGTAGTATTACCAAAATACTTACTATCCCAACTCCCGACTACTTCTAGTCATATATGCATATGCAAACAACACACAACCACCAATATTCTTAGGTAACCACCTTCCTTCCCCCAACAGAAAAGCAATGATTCCCTCTGTTTGCTTTGCATGTATGGCTTCAACAGTTGAACTCACTCGGTTTACTCAAAAGCGCTCCCATAATACACGTCGACCCTAAAGTCCAAAGCTAAATTCTGCTGCCACCAGCCCACCAGAAACCCTTTTTTTCCCCAAACATCAAACCCATCATTCGTTCTCGTCCTTTATTTTGATCCAATTTGTTTGGATCCAAATATATAAAGGCGAGGGGTGGAAAAAAAGCAACTTTGATCTATTCTTTTACTTAAACTTGGTTGGTTGCTAGTTAAAGAGACGAACCAGAGGATGCCAGCGCTAAAGAAAGGCATGCCGACGTAATGCGGTCACAGAGCAGCATATGGTTCAAAAGGCACAGAGTACAGTAGGACATCCCAAACCCAAAAGATTCAAAGAGCTCAAACCTGGTACTTTGTGGGCAAGGAGATAATTTGCTTTGGAACTAAGATTACTCATATATATGATTAGTTTAATTCACCATGAACTAAGATCACCCATCTATCAGTCTTACGTTGTTGGAGTTCGATCGGGTTGGTAGTTTATAAGTGTTCGCGAGTTATCTAAACGAATTCGAATTAATGATATTTTTTCCTCAGTGAACAGTTCAGAGAATGTTTGTGGGTAATGGATGGTAGGTTGGTATTTTTACACACATATGTTTGTACCACTCAAGATCTCATAAGTAACGAGTTCATTTTAGCAAGGATTGCGAAACCATATCGGAGGTTGTAATGGAAAAGGCAATGGTAGGATATTCTGTACTGAAACCCTGGTTCAAATATTTCATACCGCTGAAATCGCCTACTAATTTAGACTCCGACTGAAGGTTTTCCCGGTATCGATTCACCAGTATGGTCTCACATACATTGCATTGTAGTCATCCATGTATCCCTCGATCAAGAGTTAATCTATCGTCAAATGATACCTGGATAGATTTTGACATCCATAATACATCTAAGAAGGAGTATATAAGAAAACCATCCTCACTTATATCAGATCTCGTTGTTATCAGGGTTCCGTTTTAATTACTAGCTCTAAAGAAGGAGTATACATTACTAGCTCTTACCCGACCCGTTGGTCGGATGAATTTTATTTTATATTTTATGTTAATCAATGGATTTATATATTCATTAAGAATTATTGTTGACTCTGAAACTAAAAGCTGCAGCTCGCAAAAAAAAAAAAACTCTTCAAGGGACATTTTTTTTATGGAGGTCAAGATTGACAAAAATTACATTAATTCTAAAATCAAGGTTAATTCATGTACAATGAAAATCAACAGAGACATACGTTTTCAAGAACTTAAATACCTTATGAAATTAGTAACTAAATTTTTAAGCAATAATACTTGTAGAAGAGGATGACTTCCATTGAGTCCTTTGATGTTGCGTAGATATCGACTTTAAAGAATATGTCATGGCCCAAAAAGTTAACAACTTTAAAGAACACAACAGCTACCCACCTCTGGTTCCTATTATCCCCTAATCATGTTTCAGTTGAGTGAAAATGTCTTTGTCTCTATATTTATCTTTTCACGCTATAGTGACTTGTTTAACTCGTACCTAATTTAATAAGTATAGCATATATCTAATGCAGTATAGCATATATCTAATGCAGTATAGCATATAGTGATTTGTTGTGGTTTCTGAACTTGATTTAATAAGTATAGCATATATCTAATGCAGTAATGCAGCAGCCATCTGAGTGGTGAATCTCAAAGATCCCACCAAATGCTGCTTCTTATGGTTTACTGTTTGATATATTGATGTTGCCCTATTCGATATTCATGTAGTTTTTCAATAAGTAAAAGGTTCTGATGAATGTAGGTAATTTGAGAAGGAAATAACCCAACCGCTAACCGGGTTGGATGCAAGAGTTAAGATTCAAATAATCAAACAGTAATTTGCTTGGTCATGTGATTAAGTAAAAAAGAAAGAAAATAGGAGATTAGAGGAAATAAGAAGCGAACAAAAACTAAAAGCTAACTCGAACAAAATCACACCCTACTGGCCTACTCGTTCATTCCCATCCTGACCACACACTTCGAACCCAAATCCCGACCCCACACTTCGAACCCAAACTTCGCCTGCTCTTCTTTCCCTCCACCTCCCAATAAACCAACAAAATCACAACAAAATATCCATGTATCTATGTTTTCCCAAGACTACTTTGACAATGTTGTTAAAGAAGTTTGTACCCCATAAAGCAACAAATACTCAATACTTTTACATGAAGTAGCTTTGTCATAGAAAGAAAATCAACGTGAGTCACTGCAAGTTGGCCAAATGAAGCATCGTACATCCTTTTGAAATCAACAATCAAATGGCACACATATAACAGATGTAAATGAAAGGAAAAACTCCCTTTTAAAGCACTAAAATCAAATTGAAAGTACCCCGAATTGGTGGTTACATTTGTAGCCTGCTAGATAATCCCTTAACTTTGCCTCCATATCGATTTTGGGATGTCTCAACTCCATCTCTTGAACTCCTTCAAGATTCCATTTCTTCTTTGTTGCAGCCGCGGGGATTCTCCAGAAGTCAGAGTGAATTCACTCTGTAAAGCTCCTTCCTGAAGCATAGCTGGTCGGTGTTTTCCCACTTCATGATCAACAACGCAAAAAAAATTTGTCATAGAATATGACTGTCTATTCGGAGAAAGGAAACCAGTTAAATGGCAGAAGAACTGAACTCAGCACGACATAAACTCTAATTGACTATGAGTGAAAGGAAGTCTAGCAAGGCATTTTCTTACATGAGGTGAGCCGTGAGTGTCACCCCGGAGGACCCCCAAGAAGAAAAGGGTGTCCTGATACTACTCTAGACTGTCTTTCTAAGGTACCTATTGGAGGCATCAAGGTCTCGAAAGCATCAGTTCATTGCACCTTTCAGAACTATATAATGTGACCAGTTC